AATCCACCCACATTAGTTTCTCTCTTAGGAAAGCCTCATGTCCACCCATAACGATTGTCAATAATCCAGTGCCTTCAAAGAACTATGTACGGTACCTTGGACTCTACTTAGACAAAAGGCTTACTTGGAACATACATACGAAATTAAAAAGACAAGAACTTACTAGACGATATAGCCAACTTTCACATCTTCTGGACTACAGATCTTCACTTAACTTACTAAACAAGCGACTTATCTACAACACCTTACTGAGACCAATATGGACATATGGAGCAGAACTTTGGGGTTCAGCAAAACAAACACACATAAACAAAATACAAACAGCACAATCAAAAATTATACGAAAAATTGTTAACGCACCTTGGTACATTTCAAACACTACTATACATAACGACTTAAACACCCCAACAGTAAAATCCTACATCCACGACAAATACACTACATTTCATTCTTCAACCCAAAATCACTCCAATCCTCTGGTTCTTTCTATCTCCTGCTCCCTGTTACCTGAGCAACGAAGATTAAGAAGAAAATGGCCAAGAGACCTACTACATCAATAAAAAAAAAAATCAAGCAATTACACCAAGACAATAAAAATACAACAAATTTGCTAGATGCGCAGCTGCGCAGGTGCAAATTGCATAAAATAAAATAAATAAATAAAATAAATAAACCCTTAGTTATGAATTAAACCAAAATGAAATATAATCATTCAAAATTCTATTGTGAAGTTTAAATGGTGAAATAAAAAGTTGATACTAATCCATTCTTGTTAGTTTTTTATTTTGTTTTTTCCAGTAATTTACATAAATAATTATTTTAATTTTATAATGATTGTTATTATTTATTTTTTAAGATTATAAAAGTACTAAATAAATAAGCACAGTATGGCCTATGCTTAAATATATAACAAATTCCTTTTATCTAGGAGATCATTATGAATATAAAAGGATCTAATCAGTATTGTTAAAATTTGCTTTTAATTTTGCTGAAATTTAGTGAATTTACTACTCCTCTTTTATTATTTAGTTTTCGAGAAATTAAACCATAAAAATAAATGAAATGGAAACATAGAGTTAAAATAAAAAAAAAGATAGAAACTTTTTTTAAAAACGATTTAATAATTTGATTTTAATTTTAAATTATTGTTTTTTTTTAAATTTCGTGGCAACACTTGCAGCTCCTCTCTACTTCCAGAAACAATGCTAATTGGCTGATTTAATATCAACTCGGAAAGTTTCCTTATTTATATATATGTATCACAATATATAACATTGTTAATAGTGAGCAAAGAGTTTATTTACACCATATATATAGTTAATATAAATTAATTAATTAAAATAAAAAAAATTAAACTAAATAAAAATACTTGAAAAAAGGATAAAGATAATAATCTTGAACAAATAAACTAAATCTGTTTGATCAGTCAATCGAACCCAATCTATCATGTATAATATGTCATACAATCGTAGAAGCTAGCGGAATGATAAAAAATTAATGACGGGGACGAAAAGTTCTCATGAAAATTTTCAAATTATATTTAACTTGACAAATCAAAAAACTATATAATACATTAAATCTCCGTTCTCTAATTATTTAAAAACTATTCTATCGGAGTTTTGTTGGAGAATGCATGAAGAAATGCATCTCGCTGAAAATATTTCAGTTTTAATGGGCTGGAAAAAAGATATGTTAATTGTCTCTCTCTCAGTTTCTTTAGTTGCCTGAGTGGGGCTGTCAAGGCTCACTTCCCGATGCTGTCAAAAATAAATATTAACAGAACCAGGTAGGAATTAAACCCACAAACAAAGTAACAAATAAATAATAATCAAAAAGTATATACAATACAAAATAAAATAACTTAAAGATGAGTGAATTAAAAATAAAAATACAGTCATACCTATATACAATATATATAAACAGACAGGAAATCCCAAGTCAGGATTGTTCCTCCAACTATAGAGGAAAAAGCAGGACTCCAAGAGATCCCTGCGCTACTCTCTCAACCGCGTCACTGGTTCCAAAGCCAGAGGAGGTTAAGCGAGAGCGCTAGAAACCACTATTAATCAAATCAATATTTTATTTTTTATATACGTAGCTTTTTAACATTAGAATATTAAGATAAATTAAAAGATATTATAACAAATAATTAGCGGTGCCAAGTAGGCATATCGTTTATTCATCTTCATTGATCTTAGATCAGTGCGTCTCGATTTCAGTAGGCGTTGTCCCATGCTGATAAGATACCGAGATTGTATTTTTATTATTATTATTAATTAAATCTTGAGCTGATCTAATCTCATATTAACTAATATGTATACCTGGAACATACACCTAACGTATCGCTCCATTTCACGTATTCTCATAATCCAAGAGGCGAAGAGTCCAGAATTTCTTGATTTAAATGAAGAGAATTTTTAGTCATAAATCTATGTAATATCTATACTGTATATTTAATTTTCAGTAGACAAAACGAAATAACATTATAGTTTATTTTGAAATGAAAAAAAAAAAATCTGGTAGCTGATATATTTTATAAAATAAATATGGAGTATGATATTATTTCGAATTCTACCCATTAACCTACCATAGTTGAAAAATTATTTAGTTCAGAAATTAATCTCTATCATCCTGTTTTTTTTTCTAACAAACTAAAGTGAAATTTTAGTATTTTAATTAAATATATAACGGTGCGTCGTTTACAGAAATAGATCTATATCCTAATCAGTAATGCTCATGTTATAACTATTCTTATTTGATAAACGAAAACAGAAATTTGAAGTATTTTCTTAAAACATTTGTGAACTGTTAGTTATAACTATTAAATACGAAATGAAGCTAGCGCACAATCATATATTCTATTAGTGCATCATTGGCTACAACCATAAAGAATATGCTAAAGTGAAATGCTGAAATGTATTGTGAAGTGGTCATAAAATGCTTTACTTTGTTTTGTAGTATTTTTTTTTTAATGTTTCTTGCACAATAATTCATTGTGCAAGTGGATGCAAAATCACTTTCCTGCGCATTTTGTTGCATAAACAAATTCTATGGAAGTCCCAAACTTGGCAGGGTGTCCATTACCTTGGCGGTTATGGCGTCGTTTTTGCTGACTCTCTTCGTCTGGTTGCATTCTATTCTTATGGCGAATGCAAACGTTGGAGTTTTTTTTAAATGTGAAGGTTTGGAATTTCCTCAGAATACTACATATATATACATTACCTTCCTTTTCTCTTTTGGTTAATTATCAAATTCTTTTATTGTTTACATAGCCATATCGTATGATTACTAATGAGTTATAAGAATATGAGATCAATAGTTATTTTAAAAAGACCACTGAAGACCTGTTAAATTATTTTAATGAGGTTAATATCTACATTATAGATTATTTAATTTGACAATGACAATTACTTCTAAAACTTTGATAAAAGTCATTGAGGAAATTGGGAGATTCCAAAACTCAGATGGCTTCATATCAAAGACGAGTATATGTCATTTTCATAAAGTGGGAGAAAAAGTGAAATTTCGTTTTATTGTTTCAACTCAAAATCTTTCTGATAATGTTATTAAAGAATGTTTATGTTGAACTATGAAAAAATAAAAATAAAATGAATAGGATTAGTTCAAATTGAAGCTATATTACAAAAATCGGCCTTTTCTCAACATCTTAAAAATGATGGATATCAGTATTTGTTATGAATCCACTCAATTAGTATCAAAGTCAACGAATCGATAGATATATTTTGTTTTGAAGATTTCGACACGGTATGGCTTAAAGTTCATCAACAGTCGGTGTAGTTCCATAGGAGCAATCGGACTTTGCGTTTTAAAGATAACAAATATCTATTTTTCGAGATAAACCGCAATTGTTGTTGGAATCCTCTTCAAAAATTATTGAAAAGTTAAGTGCAAGAGAATTGCTCTATGATACTTTTGAGCACTTTAGATAAATAAAAATAAATATCCAGGTTTGGCTTCATATTATCAGTAATAGACTTCTGTACTCTTAGTGAGAAAATTATAAACCAAGGTTATACTACGAAATATATCTTGAGCGAGTACAATAAGGCAGGGGTGACCATCCTCCCCTCCCAAGGTCGATGGCGCAAGAACCAACCCCCCATCCTCCCAAAATATTTTATTGCTTGCTTACCTTTTCTTAAAAACAGAGCAAGCTAAGATAAAGTTAGAAAAATCGTAGATCATATACAACTATACTTGCTGCGGTATGTTCCATATTTTCCCCCTTGTACCTTAGTCCGAAAATTCATTACTCCGCCGAAATATGCCCATCCCCCAAAATTGAAAAACCTGTCAAAATATGCCCCCTTCAAAAATTTTGATGAAACTCCCTTCTGGACACCTCTGAAATAATGAATTAGTATATGTTCTGGGATTGTTTGTTTTATTGCTGAACTATTATGGACAAGATGATAGCTTATTAAGTAAATTGTTAATTTAAATTTGTTATGTTGAATAGAATTTCTCGATAATATTGTAATATGTATATATTACTATTATTTTGTACAATATTGTTATTATAAAGGGACTTAGTCCCAAAATAAATTTTTTTTTCTATCTATTTATCTCTATCTCTCTCTCTCTCTCTATATATATATATATATATATATATATATATAAATGATTAAACATGATTCGTTGATACTTTGAATGCGTTAAGGAGAGAAATAGCTATCTAATGTGAGACTCCTCAGTGGGATATACTAATTATATAATCAATTAATTAAATTGTTAATTAATTTAAGTTTAGAACTACTAGTCGTTTTTGAGCCATGCTATTCCTATACCTACACAAGGACCATTGGCAAGACTAGGTTTTCTGGATTCGGAAGATTATGAACGTATATTTCCGTTGAAAATTCGGATTCGAAATTTATTATGATCGCAATACTGTATCTTACTATATATTCCATACATAGGTAAATGAAAGTAAACAGTATTTTAGGAGACATTTAAAAAAAAATAAAAAAAATTAAGCATATTTATTTTTAGGTAGAGCGCCCTCCCTCAGTGACCTACTGCGACGATACAGTTAAGCTCCATTGATCAAAGCATGCTCCCAATGAGTCATATATCAATAGCGCCGAAGTGTTAATGATGATGATGGCCATTTCCCACGTGGACCGCACGTGTGCTAACGGTGCGATCCTCCAGGACAGGTTTCCGCATGCCACCCCGGCTCCAGGACGCTGGAGGAATACATATGACCCGGGTGGACACTAGATATATATACCTGGCCAGGACTACCCCCACCGCCACTTCTCGTCCTGTCCACGGTCTGTCACCATGCTCATTGATATCATTATTACAGGTAAATATCAATTCAATTTTAATTACTTAATTAGACCCATCTTAATGGAATTGGCTACTTATGGCAAATTGAAAACGAATTTTAAATTGGAACCAAATATTCATTAACGTACCAACGTTCCTACTATATCACTCCTAGCTAAAAATTCTTTAGATAGGAGTGGTTCTATTTCCTAGCTAAAAAGTATTCGGTACTGTTGGGTCCATGAGGGAGAGAAGGGAGAGGGGATTGTGAGAGGGAGGGAAGGCTTTCCGGCTGAATCCCATCAAAAACGAAAAATATTTTTATTTTTTTCTTATCCATATTTACTTCTGTGACTGATATAAGCAAAATATTTATGCGATCACAACGCATACTATTCATTAATTACAATCCAAAAATGTAAGCATATATCAAGAATAATTATTAAAAAAAAAACTAATCCTAAAGCATTACTGTTCCTATAATTAATTTCTTAACAGGCCTTCAACTTAGCTTAAAAATATATATATTTATATGGCTATTATAAATAAGGTTATTGATTTTAGAAATCAGCTCTTATCGAGACAAGAAAACTCCAACTAATTCGTCAGTTTTATAAATATTTATTATGGTTGAAAAATGTGTAGTTATTTGCGGCTCCAGACTAAAATTTGAGACCTACAATTTTCGTCTCCAAATCCAACTTGATATTTAAACAAAATTTGGAATGTTTTTTAAAACATCAACGATTTTAACAATTGTAGTTGAACTATTAAAACTCTAATTAAACCTATATATTCAAGAAAACGAATAACAATAAGGATATATTAACGCAATGATTCTTACAACTCTGTTAAATCTCAAAATTTTTTCGAGAAAGAGCGGATTTCAAGTCGACGTCATATAGTTTATTGCAAGAAACTGAATTAATTCAAAGTTTTGAATTGAAAGATACACATGAATGATTGGTATGTATGAAAATGGATTTAGTGATGTTAATGAATCAAGTGAAAATGTGGAAATGGATATACGGTCTAGCTTGAATACCTTATGAAAAACAACCAACTGGATGCATTGTGCATCATTTGGGATACTTTGATAACATCAAATCATACTTCCATCATAGATTATTATTATTATAAAAAAGAAAGAAACAGTTTTCATTTTCATAGAGGATTATTAATAATCTAATCAGCTGATTATGGAAATTAAAATTAGCTTTAACGGGATTCCATAATTTAAAATGTGAAGACTAATTCGTGAATATATTGTTTTAATTATTAACAAAACTAAAAAAAAAAAAAAAAATAAAAAAAAAAAAAAAAAAAAAAAAAAAATAAGCCAGGTAACAATTCTGGTCGTAAACCTTTGATATACTGAAAACAGAATAAATTATGAATGAAAATAATAAAAACTGTTCGATCGTTTCATGTAGCATTCATTTTCTCTAAGCCCTAGAAAATGAGATTTCTTTGGTTTGATGCTGACAGGACCTGAAGGAGAAAGGAAATCAGTGATTGTGCTGCATAAATTTATATAATGGTATGTCAGACATGAGACAGGTCAAAATCTATCAATCTATCCATCTTCAACGTAAAACATATTATACATATTTATAAAACAATGCAAAATAGAATAATATATATTATAATAATACAATACTCTGGGACCATGTTTTGAATAAGTTTTTTCTTAAGTCCGTAAATTTATCACAAATTCTTCAAATGAAGTCCGAATGTAATCTTCTGGCATAAATATGTGTAAGTACAATACTGAACTAAAATGCTGAAATAAAATTTTACTTTTATTGGGTGGGGGTGAAGGAAGGGAGGATGAGAATGTGATTGTTGACCTAAGGTGAATGAAGGTGCGAAAAAATTTAACTTGCCCTTTCTGGTAAAGATCGAAGAAAGTTTTAGCCCTGTATTTCTGCAGATTTTTAAGAATGTTAAAATTTGATTTTAACTGGTGTAAAATTATGGTCTTTAGAAGTTTTCTGGTTAGCATAATGCAATCACGATCATTATCAACACGATAACTAAAAATATCTAGTGCCGTAAATAGAACAACGGATGTTTAATTGACGTGATCAAAGTAATATGATTATCACTTCTTGATAAAATGATCAATCATAAAAAAACTATAACAAAAAAAAACACACTCGATCTTGAAAGCCGACATGCGAGATGAAAATGTAAATTTGCAATATCTTAATTAATATTAATACACTTAACATTAATTTAAAAAAATAATGTTAAGTGTATTAATATTAAATTTAATTTAATGTTAATGGTATTTAACTTATCATTATTCTTCTTCTGAATTTGTAATTGTATCGAACTAATTATTACATCTATTAATTAATATTACATCTATTAATATGTTTAAAAAACAGAGGTTATAAAATATTTATTAGTTTATGAAGAGAAGAATAGTTGGGGTGGTCAGTCAAAAAGGAAGGCAAAAAAAAAAATAAATGGTAATATTTATTTTTTTATATGCCGACGTTTCGACCTGAAGTTCAGGCCTTCATCAGGGCTAAGAAAATAACCAGATAACAAGGTATGAGAAACATAAGTAGTGATGGTAAAAAAAATTAATAAAAAAATAAAATATATAAATATAAAGTAAAATGAAATTGTTAGAATAATGACTAAGAACTAAGAGATAAATAATAATAACCGTTACAAAGTGTGGAATGATGAAGTAGGCATAATCAAAAAGGGTGACATAAGTGTTACCATGGGAATCTTAGAATAAAATGTAAAACATAAAAAAGAAATATGAAGTTATATAAGAAATGAAAATAAATAGTAAAATTAAGACATTGAGAATGGAGTAGTTAGATATGTAAGATTTTTGACTGACCACCCCAACTATTCTTCTCTTCATTATCCACGAAAGTCAACCAATTACCAATTATTTATTAGTTTATTTTTTAAAAATTTATTTATTTAGTTTTATTTATTATTATTATTGTTTTTTTAGCTCTCTCAGTGGCCGGCACGTTTGTTCAGGCTTCTCCTCGAATAAGGGTGAGTTAGTACAAGAAAATTATCATTAATATTGATAAATGTACAAACATTTGAGAAATATATTAGGTAATACAATAAGAAAAGATATTTATCATTTCCCAAGGGAATCTAACGTAAAACGGATTCCCTAATTAATTAATTTTATTAATTATGAATTAATTATATTTTCTACCACGATCGAGCTAGCCTATGCATTTAGCATGGAGGAGCATAACTGTTGAGTTGAAGCTATTTTTTTTTTAGAACCTGTTTATGGAGAAATATTAGAATCTGTCTCAAAGGACATTTATAGTTGTGTTCAGAGATCACATTCACGCTCTTGTGTACAATAAATCACAGGCGGATCTACGGGAGAGATGGAGGGGGGGGAGGGGGAGGCTTTCGGGCTGAAGCACCCCACAAAATGGTAAAATGTAAACATGTTTTAAGGAAAAAAATATTAAAAAATTACCTCTTAAAGTATTATTGCTCATGTAATTACATTTAATAGGATTTAAAGAATCACTTGAACACCACTTCATAAATGTAGTTAGTATCTTTCTTTTTTTATTCAAAGTAATTATAGTTATATATATATGAAAAAAAAAAAGCTGTCGGGCTGAAGCCCTCCCAAAATTAAATAATGAATCCACTAGTGCAATAAATAAAAATAAATTAAACAGCAAAATAATATACATCTAATAAACAAGAATAAAATAATTTAAAGATCAATAAAAAAGAACCCATACATAAATATATACACTATCAACTCAAAATCGTTAGTTAAAACTAACATATATTCTCCTGTTCTTTATAGCCTGGTTAATTAAAGTTTATTTTATTATTAATATGCTTACCTTGCCATGGTTTAGGTATATACTCCAACAGGATAAAAAAATATCAGAATTTATAATTTAATAATTCTTCGAATAAATTTCACATGACTCGACTATTATCATAAAGTACTATTTCTTTTAATATTCTGGACGTACTATAAATTATTTTTAGTTTATAGTTTTTCCTCACGAAAATGATTTCTTTATTTAATAATGAATATTACTATATTTTCAACATGAATTTATCATTTAAGAATAAATAACGCTTTACCTAGTCTGATAAAAATGAGAGTCAATTAGAAAAGGTAAAAAGAAGAATAAATTTATTTCACTGAAATTTATGAATCGTATGCAAAAGTAGTGAGTTATTTTCATAATAAAATATGAAGTTTACTAGGTGTATTAAATTCACGCTCTTAAATAGTTTTATGTGCTAGAAACTATTTTTAACAGAGAAAGTAAGCTATTATTTCTCAACAAACAGATACCTACCGTTCTATTCCCACTTTATAGAGATTCCCTTAAGTGTTAATTATCTTGGTGCATCAATTTTTTTTTTATATTCACCACTTTTGCATACAACGACCCATGTAATAAAATTGTTTGGTTTTAAGAAAAAAGTGTTGAAGGTAATATAGAAGGTAGATGGATACAGATAAGGAGAAAGATTACATATCTTTTATTATCTCTCTCTTGCATAGTAACCCTATGCAGGAGTTTATTTCCAAACGTTTACATATACCAAGCGAATTCGCATATTATATGTATGAATGTTAAACTTACTGAAATTTATGAATACGTATTAGCAATATGATAGAACTTATTTTATAAAATATGTTAAACTGCAATAATTCAATATATTTATATTCTCTCTAAATATGATATGAATGTGCTGTATTATAAGTATTATTAATAATAATTTGGATATGATGGTAGACTGTATTGAATAATTGAAAATAATAATGGTTGGGGTGATCAGTCAAAATAAAATACCAAAAATAAATAATTGTATTTATTTTCACATTCGCCGACGTTTCGGCCCGAAGTTCAGGCGTTCTTCAGGGCTAAGAAAAGAACAAGATGACAATAGGTATAAGAAACTATAAATATTGAATAATAAAGAATTAAAATTAAAAAAGTGAAAGGTATAGATTAAAAATTTAGATAGAAAAACTTAACGTGAAATGAATTAGATAGAGTGAGCATTAAAATAAAATAAAATAGAATAATAACAGTAACAGAGAACTAATAAATAAATAATAATAACGGCAATGTATAAATTTAAATATAAATAAATAATTAATAATAACGGACCAATGGAATAAACATAATCAAAATACGGTAACATGGGAAATGAAAAATGGTAATCTTAGAACAAAGTGTAAAACAGAGAAAAGAAATATAAAATTATATAAGGAAATACAATTAATTTATTTTTACTATTTTATTTTAACTGATCACTCCAACCATCCTTCTCTTCCAATATTAATAATGTTCCTTTGAAGATATAATACAAAATATAGCTATGAAAAATACAAAATAATTCATGGCATGAAAATCCGTCTGCTGGAAATTTTGTACAATATATTACTGGTACAATTGATGATTTACAATAATATATTAAAAAAAACATGATATAAAGATATAACGATCACCAAATAAATTACTTAAATCTATCATAAATAAATAAACAATTATAAAAAACACTATTGTAACAAGAAATATACATAGAGAATAATAAAAACATGGGATAATAAATTTTCATTTAAAAACAAGATTAAAGAAAATGAGATAAATCGAAAAGAAAAATATAAATAAAAATACCTACAATGAGGACACAAATAAATTTGATGAATTTAGTTTATGTTATATTATCACTGTCACAATTATCCTTAATTGAGACATTAATATTACTAATTTGAGTGCTATCAGTGGGTATTTTCTCAACAAGAGATTTCATGTTATTATATTCCTGAGTGCACATTTACTAGTTGTAGTTTTTTTATAATATAGTTGTAAATATCAATGAATAAAACAAAAAAAATATATATTAATAAATAAAAGGTGTTCGTAAAATAAAAACTCCATACACACGTATACTACTTTATTTATATTAATATATTGTATTTTTTAAATATATTATTGTTAATCATCAACTGTATAAAAAAATATATAAATCAAATATATATATATATATATATATATATATATATATAAACATTAGGCCAGTTTCTTTAATTGCTAACTTAATAGAACAGTTGCTATTTTTCATAGATTAAGAAGATCTAATAGAAAGAAAATAACAGAATAATTCTTTCGTCAATAAAAAAATAAAAGAGTATTTAAAATAAAATATAACAGCTTATTTCCGTAGTTAAACTTAAATTTCGAGCCCAAAGAATTTAGCGATGATCGGTAGGCCCAACCTGAAGACTTAGTTATGTTAGGCACGGATGAGAAGAGCCAACTCAAATATCCGCTGGGAAATTCCGTCGGACACTTGTTGTTTGGCAGCCATACGGTAGAAGGACAAAGGATCCTCTTTTTGGAATCCGACCTCGACGGTGAGCAAGTCATGTCGATATACCCAGCGCTGATTGGCCTCACGTACGAGAAAAAATAAGAAAAAAGTACAATTATTTGCAATATCATCAAACGTTTTCGATTCTATGAACATAATTTTGAAAAACATGTTTAAAAAACTTCATCAGGTGTTTGCTAGACCTTGGAATCAATAAAGTGTTTTTCAATAATTATTTACTTGATATTAACAAGTCATTCGCTTCAATAACTCGTAAATTCTTCAGATAAATACTGGAACTTTTTCGTTTTAAAAGTTATAACATTTCTAATTTTCGTTTAGGGTGTCAAAGTTTTAAAGAAGATAGAGGAGAATCCTCAACTTCCTGTAGAATGATTTTAAATTGTGGCACAATAGGAAGATAAAGTTCCCATTACGCCTTCTCAGAAGTGCCTAAAAGGAGGTTTCATACGCCATTAAATTTTTTGAGGGAGGCACATTTTGATGGGGTTCTGAATTTTTGAGGGGCCACAATTCGACGGGGTTAAGAAAATTTTCGATTTTTTTTTTTTTCAAGAAATCTTAGGGTACAACATATTTCGGAATAAATGTCATTTTCATTTTCTTGTATCCCAAACCCTCCAAACATATATCACAAACCTTGAAGAATGGTGTCAAAACTGAAGAATAAAAATAAATTCCATAACATTATTTTTACCCTAAGTCGTAAAGCTATGACTTCTTGTCCTACAATATCCTTCAACCAAGGTCGATGGCGCAAGAAGCTATACCTCCTCCCCTCCATCGAAGTTATTTTATTGCTCACCTTTCCTTAAAACCAGAGCAAGATAGAATTAGAAATTGTATATTCGTAGACGATAAACAATTACAATCGCTGCGGTATGTTCCATGTTTTTATCCTTTTCCCTTAGTTCAAATATTCATAACCCCATCGAAATTTGGCTCCCTCTTCCCCTCAAAAATGAAAAAAAACATCAAAATATGCCCCCCTCATAAATGTTGATGTCGCGACCTGAGCCATGAAACCCACTTCTGGGCACTCCTGCTTTCAATAATGTTCCATCTGTTCCTGTTGAACAAATCCGCTATCTAGGATTCCAACTGGACAAACGTCTAAATCGGAATCCGAATACAAGACTGAAAAGACAAGAAACTGCTCGACTTTTCCGACTGTTCCAACACTTCATAGACAAACGCTCTAAACTTTTATTTAATTATAAAAGGCTCATCTACATGACTATAATGAGACCTATTTGGACTACGGAGTTGAGCTTTGGGGTTCCACCAAACCATCGAATTCCTGTCGTATCCAATCCTTACAATAAAAAATTCTTCGTAAAATTCATAATTATCCCCATATTCTGTCACATTTATAAAAACATTCATTAAGGCCTTAATGCTTCATATGTCGCTGATTTAGCCCAAGCAAGATATATATCCTTTCATGACAAAATCCAGTCCCATCCGAATCCATCTGTTTAAAGACTTGCAACTTCCTCAATTCCTGATAATCCTCCTAGGCATCTGAAAAGGAGATGGCTTCGTGATCTTACCTAGAATTATTTAGGGAGCGCTATCATCGGATAGTGTCCCCGAAAATGTGTTAATGTCATTAACCTTGATTTCACAAGTAAAAATTCATTTCAAGCCATATAATTTAAGAATGTGAATATACTTTTATTTTCCACCATACCCCGCCTTAAGGTAATGTGGGTTTAGACAGTAGAGGGATGCCATTCATATCTGCGTAAAAACCCAGATACAATCCTTAAAGTTTAAATAAATTTCCTTAGTTACGAGTAGACAGAACTTATCATCGCAGAATATAGAGGCAGTCTTCATCAGCAGGTTGGCCCTTAATTGCTCATCGGAGGAGCTAGCAACGATGTAAGTTCATAGAATGGAAACTCTCTTGTCTCGTCTAGGTATGCCAGGACAAGATGTCTTTAAAATATTTTCTTTTGCGGAAATTTAAAACTACCTATATTCTTAATGTTTTCTGATCCATCCTTCCTATGCCAATTATTCTAAAGTCTAACTTGCTTACCTACAATACTGAAGTTACCCATTGATCTTTTGTACAGGTGCGAAGAGGCCTCCCTCTGGAGCGGTTCTCGCTTCCTGACAACGCCACCGCCATCCGGGAGAACATCGCCACCTCCTTCAGTTGCCAGTCACGGAGCTACGGCTATTACGCCGACCTGGACAATGACTGCCAGCTATTCCACGTCTGCCTTCCTGTCGTATGGGACACCGACGGCACCGAGCAGACCTTCATGTGGAGTTTCATCTGCCCCCAGGAAACCATCTTCAACCAGGTAAGCATCCCAAACTGTCCTTAGATGATTTTTAAGAACAATGTTTTTTTTGGCATTACAAACTAAAACGTCAAGTATTTTCAGAAGAATATCAAATGAACCTTGCTTACATTTTCTAACATGAACACCAACAACGCTTTTGTTTAGGTACTTTCACTGTATTTAGAAAATGATATTTACAAATGTATTAATAAATGAAGTACATTTAGTAAATTTAAATAATAGAAAATAATAATATGAAATCACTTGTGGAGAAACAACAATAGGAGATCCCAAGGCCATCTTCTTTTCTGACGCCTCGGAGGGTTATCAGGCATAGAAAAGGAAGCAAGGTTAGAGACGAGAAGATTCGGATGGTTCTGAAGTTTATTATGGAAGGATATGTACCTGAATTGGGAAAAATCGGAAACATAAGGAACATTAAAGTCGTTATGGATTATTTTACCGGTGAAAAAGTAAGGAGCATTGAGGATTTTCCGAAGGATTTTGGATTGTAAGGATTGGATATGGGAAGGCTCAGTGGAGCCACAAAGCTCAACTCCTTACGTCCTAATAGGTCTTATCGTAGTCATTTACATGCATGAGTCTTTTGTAATTAACTGGAAGCTTAGAGCGTTTATATAAAAAAAAACAACTTATATTCCAAATTACAAGAAATTGTTTTATAATTCTTGATATGTATTTTATGTTTTTTATTAGTTATAAAATATAATCCTTAAATCAAATCATTATGAATATTACCAAATGTATGTTCTGTAGAATGTGAAACGACAGTTGACGAATGACATAGCAGACATTAAGGATGTGCGTCATCGTTAAACTATGCACGATCTTTTCTGATCATGCTATACCTCTCTATTGCTCTATCACTGAGGATGGAATAAATTTCTATATTCTAGTCTACATCTAGTTTATTATATACTCGTTGACCTTAAACATCTAATATCCGATAAATAACACTGTAGCAGAAGCTAGATGTATAAAGTGCAAAAAACAACTTGAATCCAATTCCTTCCGTCATTTCATGATGTTTCAACAATCAACACAAGACTATACTAGGTAAAATAAAATAATAAAAATAAGTAGATAATTATAATAGTACTGTTACAGTTTTGATAAATGTAGATTAAGTAAAATATCTTAAAAATAGAAAGGAGAAAAAAAACACTTGAACAAAATGAATGATAAAACAACAATATTTTCTAGAAACACCTATGAAAAACTCATTCAACTATTAAATAACCCAATTTTTTATGAATAAATACTTTCAATTATAAAAAATGGATCATACAACTTGATTTATTGAGTTCTTACTTTTTTTAGAGGGGGCAAGTGGAAAGGATTATATATCGATTTTTATAAGAAATATCCAAAGTAATATTAGAGAATTGGTGTTTCTAATGAATGGTTATGGAATTTAAAATAAATTAGTTCTTTCTAAAAAAGAAAATGAAAGTACATATTTTTTCAAGTTTCGAGTTCAATATATTCCTGTAAAAAAAAAAAAAAAAAATAGCAATGAAAAAAAAAATGTCGTACAAAACATTTTTGAATTATTACTGATTGTGACTGAGTATGTATATAGAACCGAATAAACTAAAATGAATTTCTATGTAATAGATTTCAGTTAAATGAAAAATATATAAAAACTTTTCCTTAAAAAAGTTTTTTTTTTAAATTAATTATAATAATGTTATGTTTAAGTAATTATAATAATAAATATAGTGTTCATAGCTCACTATAATTATTGTCCATGTGACAGATTGTTGTATTACTTAATAAATATAAAATAAATAAAATTACAATGAATGTGACAGTATTTCTGTTATACTATATATTTCTGAAATAGATCTATGAAAATTAGAATATAGCAAACACCATTTTAAAAAAAAAAAGGAACCTACGTAGAGGAATCATAAAAATAACGCCCATTTTCCTTAAGTATTATTGAATTAAATAATACCAAAATATAATCCTAATTTTGATGCATTACAAGTATTAATAATAAGCCAAGCATGCGCTAAAAAAATAAATAATAACTCATATTAAAGTGTCGAAATCAAGAGATCAGTTCATGATTTACAGAAGTCTAAAATAGGTAAATATATTACATAATTTGGATTATATATTTTAAAAACATTCAATAAAGCTTCAATGTTTAAATAATTTAATAAATATGAAATAAAATATAATTGAGTTAATGAAGTTTATGATAATATTAATTGAGAATTAATTTTATTTATTTATTCTTTTGAGATAATTGCAACAAGCAAATCTGTTGTCCATCTTTTGTTTCTTTGCCGAACTGTGGATATTAACTTTAACTTGATTTTATTTTAATTTTTTTTAAAATAATAATTATTGGTGAATCAGATTATGGCAACTTTCTTATTAATCTACGTCGACCGGATAACAAGGAGTAGGAAAGTGACTGCACGGGTGGATTGGGGTGATTGTGAGTGAAAATTGAAATAAGGTGTATTTGTTGTATCTTTATGGTCTTACTGTTGGAATATCTATGTCATTGTATACGGCATGATTTAAAATGAAGAAGGGCACGTTAACGATTTTCAGAAGAATTTTGGATTACGTTGTAATTGTTTTGCTAAAACTTAATGTTCTTACCTGCATATCCAAATAGTTCTCAGCATAATGGTGTATATTTGGCTCGGGTTTCGTCAGTTAAGATCTGTAGTCTAAGTTATGTGAGAGGTGATTCTGAGGTCTTCGAATAAATTTAAACAAAATATATACTAAACTATCTCAACTCCAGGGAGAATAAGAGAAACCGGACCGCTCTTGAATTCTTTTGTCATTGTTTATAAAAATTAATTAAAATCTAAAGAGGAAATGTTGATACGTAATAGAGTAATATACTGTTACCAGTTTTAAAAAATAATTTTATTGAAATTTACAACTGTAAACATATATACAACCAGTAAATTTGCAATAGGAATATATAACATGAAGGCGCCTGTGAAGAAGCTAACACTTCAAAGATAAATTAATTTAGGATGTCCCTTGGCCATCTTCTTTTCAGATGACTCGGAGGAATGTCAGGAATTGTGTTGGATGAAAGGTTACAGACTAGAGGATTGGGGTGACCAAAAAGTTTGGAATGAAAAGAGTTATATCTAGTTGAGGCCAAGTCTTCCACAAAGGAATGTTGAGATCTTTTTGGATAATTTTATATGTTGCATAATAAGGAGCATTTAGGATTTAATGGAGGATTTTGGATTGGATACTGGAAGAATTTGATGTTTTTGTAGAGCCCCAAAGCTCAATACCATTTGTCCAAATGGGCCTGATGATGGTAGTGTAAATGAGTTTTTTGAATGTTTAGAGCGTTTGTCAAGTAAGCGTTGTAGTAGTCGGAAGCGGTTGGCAGTTTCTTGTCTTTTATGAGGATTCCAGGTAAGGCGTGTCACCAGTTAGTGTGCGTTTGTCGGACTGTAGTCAAACAAATTCGTGTATATGGCCTATGTGATCATGGTTGTTATTGTCCTGGTGATACCGGAATTGGCGAAAAGTCAATAATTTAGTTGTTTATCTGAATTTTGAGACTCAAGGCCTAGTGTTCGGAATTTCACAATTATATTCTATCAATTAATTAATACTGAGTCTTTCGCTCTTATATATTAACTAATGAGTATTATTTAATTTCTCCAGGAAAGGTTCATATGCGCAAGACCTGAAGACGCAGTGCCCTGCCAAGAAGCCGCCATGTTCTACAGCCTCAACGAAAGATTTGGCGAGAGGCCTTCGCTGAACGAGCCCACAGAGCCTAGTGATTTCGAGTCCACGGTCACAGTGATAGACGCTCGATGACCAAAAAATATAGTTATCAATAGTATCATCAGTTTAAAACTAAACATTGTAGCTTAATTAAACGTTTTTTATACTTTTGTAATATACAGTGGAGCTCATTTAAATACCCTGTTATCAGCAACTAGATAAAAACGAACATGTAATGACAAATTCCGTAATGACGAATTCTTCTCTAGTCCCAATGGTTTACAAAGGAATTGTGTAAAAAAAAAAACAGTAAATTAAAAAATATATATATATAAGCTTTACGATATTAAAATTGATAGATAAATGGCTTATTTGACACATAGTTTGAAGATTTTATTTGAGGTGAGTGTTGTGAGAAAATTAATCATTCTGTTTTGGTGAAAAAAAAAACTGAATACATCATTAAACAAAGGCTCATTTCTTAAAAATAGACAATCTTAAGGCATACTAAAAAGCGCTATGAATTAATTAAAGCAAATTATAAAAAGAAAAAAAAACATATTTTTTTTTATTCATAAATTTTTAGAAATTAAATAAATTTGTTAGAAACACTACAAGAATTTGAGTTTAATTGGACGAAAGCGTTATTTATTTTCTAGGTGAGCACTTTACAGATTTTAATTCAAATACATTTAACCTCAAGCTAAGATTTTATATTTGTTTTGTACTGAAAATAATGAACAAAAAATTAAAAATATCTAGTATGGAGTTCGACGAACACAAGCGATGATTGTTTCTGATTATGACATGGAAGTTATTTTATTCATTCCTTATGACTCTAAAATAACCGCTTAAGCGTAATCGAAAGTGGAATTAAAAAGGCTTAAAAATACGAGAGGGCAATTAAATTTTTTCAGTTTTTCTCGATTATGGAGAATATAGAAGGACAAATTAAATGAGCAAAAAATTAAATAATTTTCAAGAGATGTGAAAGTATAAAAAACTGGTAGTCTATCAGTATAAAAAATTCAATCATATATGATGAATAAATAAATGATGAAATGGCCAAATAATTATATTGTTTGTTTATTTTTCAAGCGGTTCTCAATGGTTCCTAGAAATTACTTTAGCCTTCATTTCGATAAACATTAATTTAAATTTTGCAACGTTTCTTGGTAATTGTTAAACGATTTATTGGCCTTTGATTAACTGTAAATAATATATCCGAAGTGTCCACTCACATAAATTTCATACAAATTTAAATAACTTTAAATACGTCTATTAAAAAAAAAACATAATATTAATTTTTCTGAAAAACTGATCAGAAAAATGATTGAAATGGTATTGCTTTGATGAACTAAAGCAATGTAAACGAACACGCGAACCTTCAGAGGATACGCAAAAAAATAAAATAAAATAAACAAAGGTACCTTCAAAATCAAGGCATAAAATTCTATACTCTGCAATTTTGCTAAAACTGTTTTGATAAACATTTTTTTTTTTAGTATTCAATAAACGAACAAAAAAAGTGTGTCAGGGTGCTCTGAATCGCAAAAACCCGTTTAAAACCGCACAGCTGAAATTTGATATGTAGAAAAATAAACATGAAGAAGATAAATAACGTGGTATAAGAAGCTAATACTGGTTCGATTCCGATTACTTTTTCTTGTTTCGTAGAGCAACTAATTATTCTTCAAAAGATTAAATATAAATTTTACCATAAAATTTATACTTCATGAATATATACTCCAAAACATTTTTCTTTATAACTTTTTTTCTCTTAATCTTAAAAAGGGCATTGAAAGGATTTTAAGTAGACAATTATAGGAAGGTTTCATCGAAGTCGTTAGAACAGTTTTTTTTTCTATAAAAAACATATTTTTCTATTAATTAACAAACACGTTTTAGTTGCTTTATATTTTACAGGCATCTATGGTCAAAACCCTAAAAAAAAAAAAAAAAAAAAAGGATAGTAAAATCGTTTCACTCTTTCTCGATATGAGGCAGTCTTGGCACAGACAGGCAGACGAATGGCTGAAATGTTTTTCGGTCGAAAAATTGAAAACAGCAAATCGGAAATTTTACACGATTATACTTTTGTATTTTCCTTACTTTGTAGTGGTAGGAAAAAGAAAAAAAAAAAAAAAAAATTGTATATTCAGTTTATTAAAAAACATTATCAAAATAATGCGTACTGGACGGGTTATGCTTGAGTATGACTGGTGTATTTTTTTTTTCAAAGTAATAATGTGATCTGACCATTTTTATCTTTACTCCAAAATATATTTAACCGAACCTATAAGTGTCACTAGTACACGGAGTAATATCTTGTAGATTTAGTGTTTGATTTTTCTGTATTAGTATCAAACCTAAATAATTATAATAAAAAATTTAGTTCTAAATCTAAACAAAAGAAACATTCTATTCGGTATTTAAACATAAGCATTTTAACAGTGGGCATGACTAGGTAGCCGTTATGTTGAAACCAACTGTTTGGCAAGTACTGACAGATAATAAATGGACCTGGGAAGTTATCCTTTGTGAGAAATGGTGTGTGAGAACAATACACACGGAGGCATTCTAAAAACCAAAGTGGAACCATAACACATAAGACCTTAAAGCAGATGCAATGTATCTCTTTCCTAAATAATAACAATACGAATATCTTTTCATCCCTATAGTTTATTCGGATTCTATATCCAGAAATCTGAAAGATTCATATCAGTTATCTAACACGGTTCATTTACGACTTAAGCCATATTTTTATTCGGGAAGTGACTTGACTTCTTCCGGAATATGAAACTATTCGGATACAGGAAGATAAACAATGTTTAACATTTCCTTACGCAACCAGTTTTTTTTTTCTTTTGAAACCTTTGGCACAAGAAAATTCCTTATGAATAGTTATAAAGGTGTGTGAACCAATGGCAACTAAGAGGAAAGGTTTGAAAGGTTTATTTAACTTTTCCCTTAGAAGTACATCCTACGTATTTTTAACAAATAAATCATACATGTTTATACTCTCTTTAAATATGGCGCCTTAGAGCAGAATAGAGAAAAAATGGAAGAACTAAGAGGAATTAACTGGTTATTGCAATTGATGTTGAATAAAGCTACTACGCCTTTTTTTTTATTTTTTTTTTTAAGCCTGTACCACTACAACCCATGAAGGGTCTTGAGGGTTCAGTACTATTTAGGGAAAGCACTGTTTCTTGGTCAACGGTTATGCAAGGAGGTGATTTGACCGCCAGGTTTTTCCCGATTAATTAATTATTTAATTAAGGTACCCACTTTTATAGAGGCTGGGTGTGCCCTTGGAGGGTCTCTCTACCCCAAGGTCGTCCCACGGCTAATACAACAGAATAAATAATTTTTCTGCCAAGAGCCATGATTATAACCTGAGACCTTGAGCTTTGGAAGCAGTACCCTACAACCGAGCTACCCCACTACGCCATTTAAAAAAATAAATAAATCTTACGGAGTAAGATATATAAATAGGTATACATAAAAATACTTTGACTAGGTGTTAAGGAGACACTCAATAAAGTTAGAATCGGTAATAATTTGTCCGAAAAATTTGAGGTTCGTTCGGGCTTAAAACAGGGGGATTCTCTTTCGCCTGTCCTGTTCAATTTGGCATTAGAACATGCCATTAGGGAGGTAATGCGAACCGAGAAAGGGTTGGATCTGGGCGGGACAACATCCGTGCTGGGCTATGCTGATGATCTGGTACTGTTAAGCGAAGACGTTGAAACTATAAAACTAAATACGACAACGTTAATGAAAGCCGGGAAAGAACTAGGACTCGAAATAAACGTGGATAAAACAAAATATATGGTTAGCTGCAAAAATGGCGATACTACTGGTGATATCGATATAGATGGTAATATGTTTGAACAGGTAGATAAATTTAGGTATCTAGGTTCAACGATAACTAGAAAAAACGAAATTGAAGAAGAGATTAAGGTTAGACTGAAGGCGGGAAATGCTTGTTATTTTTCTGTTACAAAACTACTTAGGTCGCGCCTCTTGTCCCGGAACTTAAAAATTAGAATTTATAAAACCATTATCTTGCCTACAGTTCTTTATGGATGCGAAACTTGGCCGCTTACATTAAGAGATGAGCAGCGTCTTAAGGTTTTTGAAAATAAAGTATTGCGTAGAATATTCGGACCGAAGAAGGATGAGTTAACCGGAGAGTTCAGAAGGTTACACAACGCCGAATTGCGTGAGCTGTATCCGGGTAATATAATTGATGTAATTTCATCGCGGCGAATCAAATGGGCTTGTAAAGTTGTTGGGCTTAGTAACGAGAGAATTCCTAAAAGGTTAATATTTGCTGTGCCGAATGGTAAGCGTCCGAGGGGTAGACCGAAGCGAAGGTGGGAAGATTGCATTAAAGCCGATCTGAAGGGACTGGGTTTGGACGGCGATCGGTGGAGGGAGGTGTGTAACAAGCGATTGGTGGTGTCGGCATCGAACCTTCGGGTTCGCTAAGCCTTATTATTATTATTATTATTATTATTATTATTATTATAGGTGTTAAGGACAATTGAATAGTTAGTTCCAAAAATTCATTTTCGCGCTCAATAACTTATTTTTTTTGATTTTGTAGATGGAATTATAGTAATTGATTTAATTAAAAGATGACACGGAATTAAAAAAACAACAAATCATCCCATTTTTATTTTATTTTTTAGAACAACTTAAAGCTATAAAAAAATCTATGCCTTCGTACAGTCCATAATCTGTATATTATAATACTTTTTTTTGTTTGAAACTACTTTCTTGAGTAATTAAATATTCCGTCACAGTTACACCAAAGTAAGATAAAATGTAAAAAAAAAAAAAAATAAAAAAAAATAAACGTAAAATTATAATCAAGAGTGGTGTTGTCCAAAATCGGTCTTGTTCTTACACTTTGCAAGACCAAGACCAAGGCCGCCTAACTGTTGCAAGACCGAGACCAGGACTGGTAAAAAATAAAATCGATTTTTTAAATAAAAATTAAGTCAAAATAGTTACTTATACTCGAAAAATTTAGTTACTATATGTTAACAATTGCAGTATACGGGATTATTTAGGTTTCTTCTATCTAAAAAAATTAGAGTGATATCTCAATAGTAATAAGCTAATAAGTAACTGCAAGACTCTTGCACAAGACCAAGACCATGACCAAGACTGAGTTTGCAAGACCAAGACTCGTCTCGGTCTCTCATTTGGGCAACACTGATCAAGAGATATAAAAAAATAATGTTAAAGATCAGTAAAGTAAAATAAATATACCTATATATACTACTTACAATGAGCTTCTCTTGTTCCTCGACCTGAGGAGGGAAAAGCATGACTCCAGGAGATCCTTACGCCACTCTCTAAACCACGTCATTGGTAATGAAAGTGAGTAGGGATTGAGGAAGAGGGATTTTGGTAAGTTATGAAGTTAACATATAGATTAGCAATGGCGCATTCAAGTAGAGAGGAACTTTCGGTAAGTAGCCTAAAAAAGCTAAAAAAAAATTTTTCAATCAGTAAGTTCGTGTCAAGAAAAAATTAAAATACTTTAAACCTAAAATTACGAATAGAAGCTCCAAAAAAATTAAATCTTGGATTCAAAACTGGTAAGTGAGAGCGGAATATTTGTGAGACGGTATGAAGGTCTTAGAGAAGTTATTAACTTTTTTTTTATCCCAATGTGGTTTTCTAGTTGTCCTCAATCCATTGCTAATAATACCCGTTACAAACTATAATAAACAAGCACATTGTACCTAAGAACTGATAGCTATGAAAAAAAAAAAAACAATATAATTTGGTCGTATTAAAATAGGCTTACAAGTATATCAGAATTCGTATGAAACCATAGGAACGCAACGACTATCAAACAAACAGTACGTTTGTTTACTTAGATAATATGAATTATTTTTTATTATTAGTATTAGTAGTTTCATTGTTATAAGTATAATTATTGAATTATACCTTATGAATTATACTTTAAATTATACCTTACGTATAGTGTATCGTAGATGTACTTATACATTTTTATAAGAATCATCATTTAGTCTTACAATCGTCTTTTATGGTTAATAAGTGAGATGCTCAGAAATTTAAATATTAGACAATAAGGAAATTACAAATCCAAATAACAATCCGATTTGTGTTAATTGACATTAACTTCATTGTTAATTGTAATGAGTAGAAAAAATACAAGGGTCATTTGTCGCCTTATCAAGGCAATGATTCTAGTAGAAATAAGGTTAATGCTAATATTCCAAAAACTGCATTCATTATATAGAGAACTTATTGCAGATTATAAGAGAACTTATCTTTATTTTTCTAGAGTAAAATTTGTTGTTAAAATATGTAAATTCGGCTGCTATATTGAAATGGAAATTTCGGAATTGTTCACAAGAGAGTTTTCCAAAGCATTAGCTACAGCCGAATTATCCGATGGGAATATGGAATGGTTAATTAAACTCTGCCTTACATAAGGTAAGTCTTGGAATGTGAACTAGTGACTTCTTTAAGAATTATTCAAGTCGAGTTCTTTATCACAATAGAATGACCAGGAAAACTATACGTGAAAATTTCTCAAGAAGAAATATGGAGTTGAAGTAATCGGATATCAGTAATCAGTAAATCACTGAAAAATTATGAAGATGGAACAGAAGTGATAACAGTTTATAATTTTTGTTATTTTAAGGTTCTGATACAACTAATGAACTCATTTTATATATTGAATTCCTTGCTTCAAGATTAATGTACTTCATGGTACAGATTTATTTTCTAGCCCCGGATGCGATAACAAATATTTGAAATAGCTAACATGAACAAAAGAAGAGGGGAGTATTGAAATGGAAAAAAAAACACTTTTCAAATATATTATTGATTTATGTCTGTTAATCAAGAGTATCTTGTTTTTCTCGGGAATAATTGAATAATTAAAATTTCAGAGAAAAAGTGGTGCTCCAATAAAAATAAAAGATTTGGAAAATAAAGTACAATGAAAAATACTTCAAAAGATTCATATACATCTCATATATACACAAATACATCAGAATCAAGAATAAAAACACATATCACAAACAAGGATGTGACATTTGCAATGCAATGCTTTCCAACGAAAGATAGTTACCATATCAGATTATATACTTATGGAGTGGGTTAGATTAGTGAGTACCAGGTTCGAGTTCCACTGTGGCAGGTTTATTCTGTTACATCAACTGTATACTGAATCTTGGATCAGCAGACCCTCCTGTGGCACACCCCGTCTGTATAAAGGGTGATCAGTTTATATGGATAAATAATTAATTAGGGGAAAAAATCTGGCGTTTGAGTGTAATCTCAGCCCAATCACCTCTCCACATAATCGTTGATCTAGGAACAGTACGTCCTTAGATCCTCTGAACCAAAATTCTCAATGGGTTCTAGTGGTAATGGTTAGAAAAAAAAGTTTATAATTAGTGGAATATATAGCTAGAAAGTAATTGAGAAACAAGACATTTTAAAACTATATATTTGAAATAATCAATAATTACTAATACAAAGAAAATAAATAAATAATTTGGTAATAATAAATCATCTATATATACAAAGGAATTGATAAAAACAGAACAATGATAAGTATGAATGAACGTTATGAAACAAAGACCATTCAAAACAAAACTGAATAACCATTTTTATTGGTATTTTAATATTATGGACAAATACAATAGATATCACAAATATGCATAATTAAAACAATAAATTATATACAATTACTGTAAGGTTATTACTTCAAAGCATGTATACATTTACATCATATCATCAGGCCCTTAGATAAATGGTAACATTGCCAAGAAATATATTTAGAATATTTCATTTTTTTTTTTATAATCCTGTAATATCTACAACTTAAATTAAATTAGTTATTAAACAAACAGTTATCAGAGTTCCAAGAAAATAACAAAACTTATGCTGATAAAATTTTAATACGTCAGAGAGAAGGATCACGCTAATTTTTTTTTAAGAATTAAGAACTTAAATAACCATTCAAAATCATTGCTGGAAAAAATCTTTTTAAATCTTTTTATGTTTTATTATATTTCTAATCACTCATTTTTCAGGCGAATGGACAATGATGGATATCTAAAATTAAAAGTACAAGAGCTGAAGAATTTTTTCATTTATGACAGATATAATCCTGTAAAATAAATACTGTTATATACAATTATAGCGTTTATTTTACAATCCGCATTAGTAAAAAAGCAGGTGATTAGGTAATGAGAATATGGTCTCAGGCTTCTGAGTCAGCTCGAATGTCTGCCCTGAGCTCCTCAGGAGTGCGGAGGTCGACGGCGAACTTGGGAGGGTCCCAGACCCTGGTGCCATGGCCGCCGGAGCCTCGAACCCGGGCGGAGTACTCCGCGAACGCCGTGGCCAAGCAATAGGTCAGCCTGCGGGCGGAGGTTCGAGACTCGCAAACGAATCCATGACACTCGAACGGGTTTCTGGTGTCTCCGACGTCTCGAACGATGATCATGCAGAACACCCTGGTATAGACCAGGTCTTGAACGCCATAAGAGATCGTCTGCAATGGAAAATATTAAAATGGTTCTATCCTATACTACCGAATCTTAAAAGTAAAAACTTAAAAACAAACGCTTAAGATGAATTCTCTCACTATATACTATAGTATTACCTATATGTAAGGCACGAAACAAAAACTCGACGAATCTACAGACACTAGAGAGAATGAATTCAAGGTGAGTATGCACTCTAAAATTACTTATCTATTAATATATACGAACATCATACTAGCTACATTTCTATTAAGAAAAAAAGAGATACAATGTAGAACACAATGAATCAGCATGTAAGATACTGAAACTTCAGTTTCAGAGAGCAAGTTCGAACTAGCTTATTAGTGGCTCTACTTCTTTTACAGATATCAGTATATTCTTACGCCCTACGTACACCAATTTATCAAAACTCAGTGTCATGTCTACATACTACAGGGACTGCAATTCAAACCTTCCATCCAATAGCGTCCCACCCGATCTCGTCCTTCTGACTTGTACCATCCTCCTCACCGAACTGCTGCGTTTGACAGGTTCTTTTAGGAAGGTTTCTGCGTACCCCTCCTTTTCCACACACTGCCTGATTAATATTATTTTGTTTGAAATCACTATTCTTATTTCCAAAATACTTTTCATGAGATTTTCCTGGTATTTATTTGTTCTAGTTCTAGTTTAAATTGACTTTATCATATTTTTAGTCAATTTTTATTCTAATTAATGAACACGAATTTTTATTTATTTATAAAAACTATAGAACTACACTGATTTGGCCACTTTGTAATGTTCATTTAATTTTTTTTTTTAAAGTGACTTTGTTCCATAATAATAAAATTATTTCATTTCATTGATTTATTTCCTACTGCATTATGTTTTTGTGGATCGAATCGCAAGGTCCTTTTAGAGTACACTCAGTATCTTAAAAGAATAGACTTGACTATTTAATGGATTGCTGGAAAATACTTTTCAGTACAGCATAATGCCTCGAATCTTATATTTAAAATCACTGCCCAAAAAAGTACTTTAAAAGTTCACAGGAGATAGGAGTAAGTCAAAGGATGAATGTTTATCTTCATAAAATGACATTAATTCCATTTAGGATTTTAAAGGCTAAATTTGGTCTCTTATTTTAATTAATTTCTTACTCACATTCGATTTCGCCCATAATCTTGCGCTGGTACTTTTAAGAATGATGAAAATTACTTACAAAGGTAATGTTCATTGAAAGAAACTTTTTTTTGGAAAATGTAGTTTTACCTAAAACCAATTTATATATTAAGTTGAATATGGTCCTGAGTTAATTTTATTAACGACAAGGTCCAAACAACAATAACAGAACAAGGTAATCAATATGCAAGGTACTTCAGATCCTTGCAAAACAACAGCAAAATAGAAGATGGTAATTAGATCAGAAAGATAAATCAAGGACACGCAGATTCCTAATCGACACGCACCATCTCATTATCGATTAGCATCTACCGCAAAACAACTTGAAAGCCATTATTTCAAGAAAACAAAGATTGTAAGGCGTATTTAAATAAAATTCTTGGCAAATTGTGTCGGGTCGGTCATATATAAAATACAATTTGTCCAGCGTTTTAAATAAGTATGAATGGACTGATAACTTATGTTGTTTAACAGTCATGAATCCTGTCCAGAGATTTACTCTAATCCTGTACTAAAAGATGTAATCAGATCTTTATCTAGACACATGACAAACGTAATGAAGGTACGTTGTCATGTCTTTAGAATGAAAAAAAAAAAAACAGTAACTGCAAACATATATAATTTTTAATAAAAAACTGGATCTAATCCGAAGTAATCAAAACCATCAAAGCATCAAATGAATGACTTATAATTAATAGAACGTCATAAAGCATTTGATACATTTCACAAGTATCCATTCGTATTCATTATATAAAATTCATAATATAAAATTCGTTTATTTACCACGCCTCTTCCCAACGCTAACTCTAAATATCACTGATTGCATTATCAAGAAAATCATACATATACAAAAAAAATAAATAAATAAAAATCTATCCTCATTATTTGTTTATTGAACAATAATATAAATAATTTGCTTAGCTGCTTGATGAAAAAATAATTTAAAAATCAAAACAAACATAATTAAAAAGTACTATCGAAAGAAAAACACACTATAAGTAAAAACAAAATATATAGAAAAAAATACTAAAATCACATAAAATAAAATAAAAATGATAAATGAAGTATAACAAATATGAAAGATATGGGTAAAAAATACATTACTTAAAAAATAACAAAAAAAACTTAGTTAATAGAAAGTAATACATTAAGAAACTATAATAATAAAGATTTTCAAATTGTTCAACTACACTTTCAAAAAGTCATGTTCATTCTCTGGCCAAGTCCCATCAATTAGTGCTATGTTTAATATCAAGTAAGTTCATGGTCTGTCAAATCATGCACAATTATACGTACAAGATTGATATTTGTCAACCATTCATTAGTAAGCAAGGTACTGTGATCCTATTCTCAATAACCCAGGTTAAAGTCCGGCCGAGGTAATAATTATTTAAACCAGGCAGTTTGATGTGATCTCGGTCCAATTATTTCTCGGCTCACCATTACTTAATTAGGTTCTTGCACGGAAAAAACCGCATAGTAATACAGGGACGTACATACGATTGAGATTGGTCTTTTTTAATAATAATAATTTGTTTCACATTAAGATAAAAAATCTTGGAATAACAGTGAGCCTCAACAGTGTGGTGGGGAGTGGAGGCGTAACTTGAATCCACCGTACGGTGACGAATACGGCTTTCAAATACCACACTCTGAAAACTCTCTCTGTTCTAATTTACAAAAATGCATTGATAAAAGCTAAAAAAATTAATTTCAAATTAATTATTATATCGCTACTGTTAGTGCACAAGACCATATGTAACAATTTTACATGTTTGTTCTCTTTGCCTTAATGGTGACATTTTGTATTCTGCAACTGCTATAAGTAGTCTGCAAAATAAGAAAATAGCAGAGGGAAATAAAATATGAAATCATAAAGAAATAATAGATTTTTATGGTCTTCCGTAAAAATAAATAAATTTCTACATATGACCTATTGCACTAACAGTAGCGGTATCCTGGATGTAACTTTTGAAGCTGGATATTGAACACTATCATAAGCAAAAAAGTTTAAGAAAACCAACGTTATAAGCTAGGCGCTTGCAGGTCACTCTCGTGACGTAGTTCCGTCATACCACATTTCTTAAATGCTAATAATCAAAGTGGAACTTTGTTTTTATTATTACAAACCAATGTTTAAGATTAAAGATATTTACGAATAAAAAATGAAAATCCATGAAAACAACAAATTATATAATTTATATATTTCGCATTATTGCTAATATGAATTTCAAATCTTGCTGAAAGAACCTAAAGAAATCATCCTTGAATGGCCAGAGATCTGCATGACTATGTTTATTGAATACTTATATGCAGTGTTGTCAAAATGCGAGACCGAGACGAGTTTTGGTCTTGCAACCTCAGTCTTAGTCATGGTCTTGATCTTGCGCAAGACTCTCGCAACAGTCTTGCAGTTAATTATTAGCTTATTACTATAGAGATATTACTGTAATTTTTTAGATAGGAGAAACCTGACTAAGCCCGAATGAAAAATTAGAGGAGTTAAATGCAAAAGTATATAGGTTATACCAATTATTAACATATGGTAACTAAGATTGTCAAGTATTAGTAACAATTTTGCCTTAATTTCTAATTTTAAAAATCAATTTTTTTGAACAGTCCTAGTCTTGTTCTTGCAACAGTTAGGCGGCCTTGCTAAGAACCAAGAACGATTTTGGGCAACACTACTTATATGAGTGGCTTCATATCAAAGAGGTAATACTCTCATTTTCAGGCAGTAGAGAAAAAGTCAATTTTTGTTTTATCGGTTCAACTCAGGCTGTATCTGATGATTTTATTTAATAATATTTCAGTTGAATCATGAAAAAAAGTGTTATCATTGATTTAAATTAAAGCTTATGTGTACTTTTTAAAAATTATAGATGCCGTCTTTGATATGAGGTCACTCTTATATCTTATGTACGTTGTATAGTAGTTAATGGTCTAATTTTCTGTTATTGTTTTTTTTTTTTTTTTTTTTTTTTTTAAATTCCGTAATGTTCAATTACGCTTTAAATTTAAAACAATTTCTTGATGACGGGGACTCCTAGAGCTATTTATCAAATCCTGTGAAGAACTCCCTCACCTCTATCGGGAAGGGCTTCCTCGATGTCGGGGAGTAGAGGGTGCATCCTTCGGTGGTGACCAGGAGGGACATCATTGTCAGCGGGGTGGCCCCTGGGGTCTTCGCCGCGGCCACCATCGAGTCCACGGGCTTCCGGGTGTGCTTCACCCCCCAGAGCCCCCTCGCCTCCCGCCACCCGAGGTACTTCACTGAGAACGTCTGTGGCAGTTCCTCTTTCACGTCCACCATAGCTCAACTTCATAAAAAAAATAAAAAAAATTATCTATTAAAAAGACAACAGTATAACAGAAAAATCTGCTATTTATAACCTTTAACCAACAGTCCAACAATGAATGCCTAAATTAAAAAAAAAAAGTATAAAGTTATTGTAACTGAACAATAACCAGAAACTATACCTATTTATAGCCTTTGTTGAAAATGACAGAACAATGATCCATGGTCACAGTGAATCATTATTTCTTTGTTAGTTAGTATTGAATAATAGTTATTAGTTACTACAAATAATATTAGCATCTGAAGAGTTCATCCAACTTTATTTACCCAAAATCACGGGAGGGAGAGGGGCTTTCAGACTGAAGCGTCCTCCCCCCCCTAAAAAAAAAAAAGAAGCAAAATATAACTATGTCTCACGAAAAGAATATTAAAAACTTAATTCTAAAAGCATTATTTTTCGTATAATTATATTTAATAGGACTTATAGAGTCACTTAAACACCATTTCATATAGGTAGATAGTTTTTTCCTCTATCTTTCAAAGTAATAATCGTTACATACATAAAAAAATGCTTTCGGTCCAAAGCCCCCAAACTTAAATCCTGGATGGGCTAGTGCCGAAAATATAAATAGATTAAATAATAGATATGAACAAATAAAGTTAGATATAGAAATTAACACCTCAACGTTGGAATACATAAGTATTATCTGTTTAAAGCAGGTGAATAGACTACTCGAGGGGAGAAAAGTAGGTCTCTATGAGCTCCTAGCGTTTCTAATCTCAACTATGCCATTAATAGTGAAGGATAAGACAAGGCTGAGCAACGATGGATGTTAAATAAGCCGACGCAATGTTTCAGTTTAATCAAATAAATAATTTAATCAAAACTTTATTTGATGATTGACGATGTATTGAAATAGTTCCAAAAAGCAGGACCTGAAATAGAAAAAAAAACTAATTTTTTAAAAAGTTTTGGTACCACTGGAATTTTTATTGTCGATACTTTTTTGGTTATTTTGGAATTAGAATTTTTTTCTTGCGAATTTTCCAATACAATTTTTTACAGAACTTTTATTTTTATGATTTTTATTCTTAGGTACTCAAGCAAACGACACATAAAACTCATGTATAATTAATTTAAGACAAATTATAACTCTAATCTACGCCCGATTTATGTTTGTTAAAGTGGAACATTCAAACCCTGCCTAAAAGTGATTTGAAGCACTGTTTCTTGGTCAACGTTTGTGCAGGGAGATGATTTGACCGAGATCACGCTCAACCGCCAGGTTTTTGCCCTTAATTAAGGGTACCTATTTTATAGAGGATGGTGTGTCAAGGAGGACCCCTCTATCCCAGAGTCGCTCCATGGCCAATGAAACAAAATAAATAAATTATTCTGCCATGAGCCGGGATTCGAATCTAGGACCTTTAGCATTGGAAGTTCAGTACCCTACCACTGAGCTACTCCACTCTCTAAATATAGAGCAGTAAGATTTATTAATTCTAAATCAGTATACGTTAAATCGTACACAATAAACATAATAATGGAATAGACGGAATGATATGTATGCAATTATTGTAGCGAGAAATAGAGGTATCATTGGATGAAAAGTGCTTTAAAATACATGATCAGAGATTTACATAATGAAGTTTTTTGTTTTTTTTAAGAGGAAATATATAAATCAACCGATTGAGATCATGAGTTAAGAGAGTGCATATATGTAAATATGAAAATCTGTAAAGTGTTTAAATATCTGATTAATATATTATACTCAAAATAAATGAATACTGGCCATACAGCGAAATAAATTAATTTTAATAAAATACCTTTTCAAATTTTCAAAAAATAAAATAAAAATATTTTTATTTTCGGAATTAGATTAAATGATTCAGTTATAAATTACAACTTATTATAGATTAATAATAATTACGGATCAACAACTGACCATCAATAACAGCGAGATAAGATAATTCATGATAATGAAAGCTATTGACAAACAATACACTAGGGTTTATCAAGGATGCATAAATCAATAATACGCATGGGAGGTTACTTTTAAAAAAACGAACAATTTAATAAATAATCAGTAATTAATTAAATTAATTCAAAGGAAATCTAAAGAAAATCGTATTCAATTACAATGTTAGTTAATAAATGGAAAATTCCAACCACACAGCATCAGGCCTCAAACAGGCAAGCAATAATAAACCTGTGTGGTTGGAATTTTCCAATTATAAACTAACATAAATTTTCCGTCTCTCATTTAGTTTTCCTCGTTTACATTAATATTAAGTTATGACATTCATATTGTTACGTTCGGGTCTTTCCAATTAAAATTATTTACAAATAAATATAGTTGTGAATATTTAGCATTTGCTTGAAAATGGGCAAATCCGAAGCGTAAAAACGAAATAATAGAAATATTATAATTTAATAACAAAGTCAATAATTTTAATAATATTTCTTGAGATGGACAGAGGTTCCATTTTTCAATAATTATTAAATCATTAAATAAAAAAATTAAAACATGGGTAAGCAATGAGAACAAATAATAATGATCATCATTTGAATGGCACACTGCAAAAATCGTGGATGTGTGGCATAAAATAAAATTTTTCATAAGACAAAATAAAATTCGTATTTCTAATTGTATAAACGAGATTTTTCGTTCAATTTTTACCGCTTTCTTTAAGACAAATACGTAATGTTTTATATAACCTTTTGTTTGTATTTCTGAATATGCACATTGCAAGGTTGACTGAAATATCATTTTTTAAATGCTCTATTTTATTTTACTGAAATGGTTTAAAATATATTATTATTATATTATATATAATTATATTATACTATTTATTTAGAAAATCTACAGGATAGCGAAAGTGCAGTTAAAAAACTTTAAGATTCATAAAAGCGATAAAATTCTACAACAGAGTGTAATTTGAAGGTGTTGCCAATGACCCTAAAGAGAAGAGACAACAAAACAATAAATAAATAAATAAATTATATTATTGAATTTCCAAACTGTTATGTTTTAATTATTTTTTAATCTATTAAAATATTCAGCAATTAGTGAATGGCATTGACAGCTTAAGCAGTTAAGGTTATCTGTTTTCATTCTGTTAATGTTATATCTTATAACATTCAAATAATGGACACCAATAACAAAATGCATATATCAAAATGTTCTTTACAAAGGAGAATTACTGAAAAGTTTAAAAAAGACAATAAAACAACTCAAAATTCCTGGAAAAAAATGATCGAAACACTCACATAATAAAAAATAACTACACTTATGACATAAGATTTGACAATGTTAAAATAATGGGCAAAGAAAAAAATATTATAAAAAGAAAATGAAAAAAAAAATTAAAGAAAATATAAACAAAAAGAAACTTCTTAAGTTTATTCCTGATTCATGGAATCAAATTACAAAAAAAAAATCGTATTAACCCTTCCTTCCCCCTCCAACCTTAAATGTATTTTAATATTTTTAGTTGAGCGTTTGATTATTGATCAAACTTATAACTAATTAAGACTTACCCAATACTGGAAAAAATTATGTAAGGAGAATTTTTTCTTAATATATGTATATAAAATCACATTAAATAATTTAAATTAAGTTTAAAAAAATAATTAAAATTTTACTTATTTTAAAATTGTGAATCTTAAATCAGGATAGAGTCTATAACATATCATTTATATAATGTTAGATGTTTAAAAGGGGAACAGATTATCCCTGAAACGCGCAAATAAAAATAATAAAGAATAACGCAATAAATTGAGAGTTATTATTTACTAAATTGGAAAACAAGGAGAGAATAATTAATAAAACACGTTCAAAACTAGAAACTAATAAATAGATTTTCAATTAAATCAACAATTCATAAAAATTTCAAGACCATAATGTATGAGAAGTTTTTCATAAAGATCGAAGTACACCCACCATTCACCATTAATGAAATACACAAACAAAGGTGGTGTGATATTTTTTTTAATAGATAAAAGCAATTCGCTGATAACGGTTATCAGATCATAACTTCTTACGCTGTAGACTAAACAGCTTCCATATTTAGTTTTGTTCGAAATGTAAATTGCTCGTCAAACAAAATTTAGGTTTATTAAATTTATTTCGTTGAGAAAAAACTCATAATAAATAATAAATAACTTGAAAAAACTATGTACAACTTTAACTATATGAAACAATTTTATATTTATATGTTCTGTTAGAGGGATATATTCTTCAAAGGACAAAATCTTAAAAAATAAATGTATTAGGGCCGCGGGTGCTGAACTAAAACGTTCGAGGGGAACCCGAATTATTAAATATTTAATTATTATAAATTATTTATGATCTACTATAATTATCCTCAACTAAAGCATTGACGTCAGTTGTTAGTAAGAATCGAATACATTTGAATTAATTATATAGCAGATAAATTGTTTCTCTTTAGAATGATTGAATCATCTTGTTTCAAGGGAGAACTTCCTCTTTTATTTTATTTTTTATTGCGTAATATAACATTATCACATGGGCAATGGTTATATTGAGGCAAGATTACATTCACACTATGTAAACAGAAAATATAACATAAACAGAAGTAAAATAACAAATAAATAATAATTAAAAAGTATACTCCACACAGTTCCAGTCCGTAGGTTCAAATAAGTTTCAAGATTGTATTGCAGATCAGTAATTTATCGTCAATTATAAGACGAGATTTTTTTTTACAGTAGTTCGTACAGTTGGGTTCCATTCAAGAGAGAACTGGATGATAACATGGAATGAAAATGAAGATGATAATAGTTTTAGACCAGTGAGGTTTTATATTTCATTTTATTTGAATCAATTTAGTAATTATTATTTCAAATAGAATGAATCAGTAAAAATTGTTTTTTTTTTTAAACGCGATAAAAAATACAACTATTTTTTAAGTAAAGAAATAGCTAAAATAATTTTACATTTAAAATGTTTGAATTGTGACAGCTTCACTACGTGGGTTTCACTTCATTGAGAAGTTAGATAATCC